CCCCAAAACGATCAAATCCCGCCCACCCCCCCAAATTCATCCCTCCCTTTTTTGGGGTCCCTCCCGTAAATTTTGGGGGGGTCTGAACTCCAAATTTCAGGTGGGGGCTGCTCCGGATTTGGGGGATCCCAATTCCAGGGGGGTCTCCTGGAGTTTTATCCTTTCATTTTGGGGATTTTTGGGGCATCAGTTCATTTTTGGGGGTTTGGGGGTCATCCTCCCAATTTTGGGATCCCATTTTGGGGGGCTGATCACGAATTTGGGGGAGCTGATCCCAAATTTTGGGGGCTGATCCCGGATTTTGGGGTTGATCCCAAATTTCAGGGGCTGATCCCAGATTTTGGGGGAGCTGATCCCAAATTTGGGGAGCTGATCCCGGATTTTGGGGTTGATCCCAGGTTTTGGGGGAGCTGATCCCAAATTTTGGGGGCTGATCCCGGATTTTGGGGCTGATCCTGGATTTTGGGAGTTGATCCCAAATTTGGGGAGCTGATCCTGGATTTTGGGAGCTGATCCCAAATTTCGGGGGCTGATCCCAGATTTTGGATGAGCTGATCCCAAATTTTGGGGCTGATCCCGGATTTTGGGGCTGATCCCGGATTTTGGGGGAGCTGATCCCAAATTTTGGGGGAGCTGATCCCATTTTGGGGGAGCTGATCCCGGATTTTTGGGGGCTGATCCCAAATTTCGGGGGCTGATCTCAAATTTCGGGGGCTGATCCCAGATTTTGGGGGAGCTGATCCCAAATTTCGGGGGCTGATCCTGGATTTTGGGAGCTGATCCCGGATTTTGGGGGCTGATCCTGGATTTTGGGGCTGATCCCAAATTTCGGGGGCTGATCCCAGATTTTGGGGCTGATCCCGGATTTTGGGGGAGCTGATCCCAAATTTTGGGGGAGCTGATCCCAAATTTGGGGAGCTGATCCCGGATTTTGGGGGAGCTGATCCCAAATTTTGGGAGCTGATCCCGGATTTTGGGGCTGATCCCGGATTTTGGGGTTGATCCCAGGTTTTGGGGGAGCTGATCCCAAATTTTGGGGAGCTGATCCCAAATTTGGGGAGCTGATCCCAGATTTTGGGGGAGCTGATCCCAAATTTTGGGAGCTGATCCCAGATTTTGGGAACTGATCCCAAATTTGGGGCTGATCCCGGATTTTGGGGTTGATCCCAAATTTCGGGGGCTGATCTCAGATTTTGGGGGAGCTGATCCCAAATTTCGGGGGCTGATCCTGGATTTTGGGAGTTGATCCCAAATTTCGGGGCCTGATCCCAGATTTTGGGGCTGATCCCGGATTTGGGGGCTGATCCTGGATTTTGGGGGAGCTGATCCCAAATTTGGGGAGCTGATCCCGGATTTTGGGGGAGCTGATCCCAAATTTGGGGAGCTGATCCTGGATTTTGGGAGCTGATCCCAAATTTGGGGAGCTGATCCCGGATTTTGGGGGAGCTGATCCCAAATTTGGGGAGCTGATCCCGGATTTTGGGGTTGATCCCAGATTTTGGGGCTGATCCCGGATTTTGGGGCTGATCCCGGATTTTGGGGCTGATCCCAGATTTTGGGAGCTGATCCCAAATTTTGGGGGAGCTGATCCCAAATTTCAGGGGCTGATCCCAGATTTTGGGGCTGATCCCAGATTTTGGGGGCTGATCCCAAATTTCGGGGGCTGATCCCGGATTTTGGGGCTGATCCCAAATTTTGGGAGCTGATCCAGGATTTTGGGGCTGATCCCGGATTTTGGGGGAGCTGATCCCGGATTTTGGGGGAGCTGATCCTGGATTTTGGGAGCTGATCCCAAATTTCGGGGGCTGATCCCAGGTTTTGGGGGAGCTGATCCCAAATTTGGGGAGCTGATCCCGAATTTTGGGGGAGCTGATCCCAGATTTTGGGGCTGATCCCAGATTTTGGGGGCTGATCCCGGATTTTGGGGCTGATCCCGGATTTTGGGGTTGATCCCAGGTTTTGGGGGAGCTGATCCCGGATTTTGGAGGAGCTGATCCCAAATTTTGGGGGAGCTGATCCCAAATTTGGGGAGCTGATCCTGGATTTTGGGGCTGATCCCAAATTTTGGGGGAGCTGATCCCAAATTTTGGGGGCTGATCCCAAATTTTGGGGGAGATGATCCCAAATTTTGGGGGCTGATCCCAGATTTTGGGGGAGCTGATCCCAAATTTTGGGGCTGATCCCAAGTTTTGGGGGAGTTGATCCCAAATTTTGGGGCTGATCCTGGATTTTGGGGGAGCTGATCCCAAATTTTGGGAGCTGATCCCAAATTTTGGGGGGCCTCACCTGCTCAACGTCAGAACTCGGTGTCGAGCACCCGGAAGGCGGAAGAACCTGCAGGAAAAAAAAGAGGTCAGGAAACACCCCAAAAAAAACCCCAAAAAACCACAAAATCACCTTGAAATAGCACAAAACCACCTCAAAAAATTCCCAAAAAAAAACCCAAAATCACCCAGAAAAATCACCAAAACCACCTCAAAAAAAACCCCAAAAACCACCCAAAAAAACCACCCCAAAACCACCTCCAATATAGCCCAAAACCAGCTCAAAAAAATCTCCAAAACCACCTCAAAAAAAACCCCAAAATCACCCCAAAGAAATCCCCAAAACCACCTCAAAAAAATCCCCAAAATCATCCAAAATAACCCCCCAGAATCACCTCCAAAAATAAACAAAAATCACCCAGAAAAATCACCAAAACCACCTCCAAAAAAAAAAAAAACCCAAAAAAACCCAAAATCGCCTCAAAAAAAACCCCAAAACCCCCACAATAAAAAACCCACAGGATTTGGGGAGTTTTTGGGTTTTATGGATTTTTTTGGGATTCAGGGTTTTGGGGTTCAGGGATTTTGGGGTTCAGGATTTTTGGGGTTCAGGGATTTTGGCCTTCAGGGATTTTGGGATTCAGGGATTTTGGGATTCAGGGATTTTGGGATTCAGGGATTTCGGGGTTCAGGGTTTTGGGGTTCAGGGGCATTTTTGGGATTCAGGGATTTTGGGGTTCAGGGATTTTGGGGTTCAGGGATTTTGGAGGTTTGGGGTTTTTGGGGTTCGGTTTTTGGGGTGCCACCTGTGGGGGTCAGAGTGTGGGTTCAGGGGGATTTTTGGGGTTCAGGGTTTTGGGATTCAGGGGTTTTGGGGTTTGGGGGTTTTTGGGATTCAGGGATTTTTGGGATTCAGGGATTTTGGGATTTTGGGGTTCAGGGATTTTTGGGATTCCGGGATTTTGGGGTTCAGGGATTTTGGGATTCAGGGATTTTGGGATTCAGGGTTTTGGGATTCTGGGATTTTGGGGTTCAGGGATTTTGGGGTTCAGGGGTTCAGGGATTTTGGGGTTCAGGGATTTTGGGGTTCAGGGATTTTGGGGTTTTGGGGTTCGGATTTTGGGGTGCCACCTGTGGGGGGCAGGGCCCCCGAGCGCAGCCCCGGCTCCTTCTGCAGCTGAATCTCCTTCAGGGCGAAGATGGACGTGGCTGAGGGGGGGGAGGGGAACCAAATCAGGGGCGGGGTCACCCCAAACCACACCCCCAAAAAACCACACCCCCTGATTTGCATAGCCACACCCACCCGAGGTTAAACCCCGCCTATTCAGCCCCGCCCTCAGCACAGCTCCACCAATGGAAAAGCCCCACTCTAAGCCACACCCACTGTAAGCCACACCCACTCCAAGCCACACCCATTTAAGCCACACCCATTTAAGCCCCGCCCATAGAGGCCACACCCTTTTAATGCCCCACCCCCAAAACTCCATTTAAGGTCCCGTCCGCTTTAAGCCCCGCCCAAGTGCCACACCCATGGACGCTCCTCCCCCAATGCCACACCCATACACAGCCCCGCCCAAGTGACACACCCACACTAAGCCCCACCCCATTGCCACACCCACAGGATGCCCCGCCCCAGTGCCACACCCATGGACGCTCCTCCCCCAATGCCACACCCATACAGAGCCCCGCCCCCTTGTGAAACCCCACCCAAAAGCTCCACCCACCCCATTGCCACACCCACATGAGGCCCCACCCAAGTGCCACACCCATACAAAGCCCCGCCCCCAGTGCCACACCCATAAAGAGCCCCGCCCCCATGTGAAACCCAACCCAATGCCACACCCACAGGAGGCCCCACCCCAATGCCCCACCCACCCAAACCCCACACAAAAGCTCCACCCACCCAGGCCCCGCCCTGGTGCCCCACCCCACCAGGCCCCGTCCCCACGTGAAACCCCACCCCAGTGCCCCACCCACCCAAGCCCCGCCCCAGTGCCCCACCCATGGAAGCTCCTCCCCAAATGCCACACCCATACAAAGCCCCGCCCCATGTGAAACCCCACCCCAGTGCCACACCCATACAAAGCCCCGCCCCAAACCCCATTGACACACCCACGTGAAACCCCACCCCATTGTCACACCCACAGGAGGCCCCACCCAAATGCCACACCCATACAAAGCCCCGCCCCATGTGAGACCCCACCCCAGTGCCACACCCATACAAAACCCCGCCCCAAACCCCACTGACACACCCACACAAAGCCCCGCCCCATTGCCACACCCATACAGAGCCACACCCCCTTGTGAAACCCCACCCAAACGCTCCACCCACCCCAATGCCCCACCCACCCCAAACCCCACCCAAAAGCTCCACCCACCCCCAGCCCCGCCCCAGTGCCCCACCCAACCAGGTCCCACCCCCATGTGAAACCCCACCCCATTGCCACACCCACATGAGGCCCCACCCAAATGCCACACCCATACAAAGCCCCGCCCCATGTAAAACCCCAGTGCCACACCCACCCAAACCCCACCCCATTGCCACACCCATATGAGGCCCCACCCCAATGCCCCACCCACCCAAGCCCCGCCAGGCCCCGCCCCCGCCCCGCCCCCAGCCCCACCCACCCAAGCCCCGCCCCCCGGTGCCCCTCCCCCGCTCACTGTCGGGCAGGGCGCTGACGCGCGCCCCCAGGCAGCCGAAGAAGGAATGTCCCATGGCCTCCGCCGCCGGCAGCCGCCGCCGCCCCTCGAACTGCCCCGCCCCGTCAGGCCACGCCCACCGCGGGACACGCCCACGAACGGGCGTGGCCGCACCAAACCCCGCCCACCAAAGGGGCGTGGTCACAGCCCCGCCCCCTCCCTTGGCCACGCCCAGTGGGGGAGGGGCGTAGGGAGGCCACGCCCCCTATGGAGGGGTGTGGTCAATGGGTGTGGTCAATGGGCGGGGCCGGAAGAGGCCACGCCCAACTCACCTGCAGCAGCTGCCCCAGGAGGTCGGCGCCATCTTGGTCCAACCTGGGGGGACAGGGGGGATCAGGGGACACCCAGACACCCACGGGGCACCCATGGGTGGCACCCATGGGACAGGGACATCCACGGGGCACCCACGGGGCACCCACGGGGCACCCACGGGACACCCACGGGACAGGGACACCCCTGGGGCACCCACGGGACACCCACAGGGCACGGGTGGCACCCACGGGACACCCACGGGGCACCCATGGGGCACCCATGGGACACCCACGGGGCACCCACAGGGCACCCACGGGGCACCCATGGGGCGGTGCCACCCACAGGGCACCCAGGGGGCACTCACGGGGAACCCACGGGACGGGGACACCCATGGGACAGTGCCACCCTCAGGGGACAGTGCCACCCACGGGGCACCCATGGGACAGGGGCACCCACGGGTGGCACCCACGGGACACCCACGGGTGGCACCCACGGGGCACCCATGGGGCACCCACGGGACACCCACGGGGCGGTGCCACCCAGGGGACACCCATGGGACAGGGACACCCATGGGACACCCACGGGACACCCACAGGGCACCCACGGGGCACCCACGGGACAGTGCCACCCACGGGACACCCACAGGACACCCACGGGGCACCCACGGGACACCCATGGGGCACCCATGGGGCGGTGTCACCCACAGGGCACAGGTGGCACCCACGGGGCACCCACAGGACAGGGACACCCACGGGGCGGTGCCACCCAAGGGACAGTGCCACCCATGGGACGGTGCCACCTTCAGGGGACAGTGCCACCCCCACGCCCCAGGTGCCCCTCAGGTGCCACTCCCACGCCCCAGGTGCCCCCCAGGTGCCCCCAGGTGCCCCCAGGTTCCCCCCCAGGTGCCCCCCAGGTGCCCCCCAGGTGCCCCCCAGGTGCCCCCAGGTGCCCCCCGTGCCCTCACCGCGGCGCGTGCTGCCGCAGCCCCTCGGGCGGGTACAGCGGGTACTGCTGCGCCCGGAACTCGGCGTTGGCACCGATGCCCGGCCACGTCTCCTCCGTCGGGGTCCCTGGGGGCACGGCGGGTCAGGGCCCAAATTCTCCTGGATTTGCCCCAAAAACCTCCAGATTTGCCCAAATTCTCCCGGATTTGCCCCAAAAACCTCCAGATTTGCCCAAATTCTCCCGGATTTGCCCCAAAAACCTCCAGATTTGCCCAAATTCTCCTCTAAATTACCTCTAAAATTATCCCCAAAATTACCCCCAAATTTACCTCAAAATTACCTCAAAATTACCCCAAACTGACCCCCCTGGCAGGAGAGACCCCCAAAAAAAACCCCAAATTACCCCAAAATTACCCCCCGAAAAACCCAAACTGACCCCCCTGGCAGGAGAGACCCCAAAAAAAACCCCAAATTACCCCAAAATTACCCCCCAAATCCTGCCCAGATTTGCCCCAAATCCTGCCCAGATTTGCCCAAATTCTCCCGGATTTGCCCCAAAAACCTCCAGATTTGCCCAAATTCTCCTCTAAATTACCTCTAAAATTATCCCCAAAATTACCCCAAACTGACCCCCCCGGCAGGAGAGACCCCAAAAAAATCCCAAATTACCCCAAAATTACCCCCCAAATCCTGCCCAGATTTGCCCAAATTCTCCTGGATTTGCCCCAAAAACCTCCAGATTTGCCCAAATTCTCCTCTAAATTACCTCTAAAATTATCCCCAAAATTACCCCCAAAATTACCTCAAAACTACCCCAAATTGACCCCCCTGGCAGGAAAGACCCCAAAAAAAACCCCAAATTACCCCAAAATTACCCCCCAAATCCTGCCCAGATTTGCCCAAATTCTCCCGGATTTGCCCCAAAAACCTCCAGATTTGCCCAAATTCTCCTCTAAATTACCTCGAAAATTATCCCCAAAATTATCCCCAAACTTTCCTCAAAATTACCTCAAAATTACCCCAAACTGACTCCCCTGGCAGGAGAGACCCCAAAAAAACCCCCAAATTACCCCAGAATTACCCCCCAAATCCTCCCGGATTTGCCCAAATTCTCCCAGATTTGCCCCAAAAACCTCCAGATTTGCCCAAATTCTCCTCTAAATTACCTCTAAAATTACCCCCAAAATTACCCCCAAATTTACCTCAAAATTACCCCAAACTGACCCCCCTGGCAGGAGAGACCCCAAAAAAAACCCCAAATTACCCCAAAATTACCCCCCAAATCCTGCCCAGATTTGCCCAAATTCTCCCGGATTTGCCCCAAATCCTGCCCAGATTTGCCCAAATTCTCCCGGATTTGCCCCAAATCCTGCCCAGATTTGCCCAAATTCTCCTCTCAATTACCTCGAAAATTATCCCCAAAATTACCCCAAATTTACCTCAAAATTACCTCAAAATTACCCCAAACTGACCCCCCTGGCAGGAGAGACCCCAAAAAAAAACCCCAAATTACCCCAAAATTGCCCCCCAAATTCTCCCGGATTTGCCCCAAAAACCTCCAGATTTGCCCAAATTCTCCTCTAAATTACCTCGAAAATTACCCCCAAAATTACCCTCAAATTTACCTCAAAATTACCTCAAAATTACCCCAAACTGACCCCCCCGGCAGGAGAGACCCCAAAAAAAACCCCAAATTACCCCAAAATTATCCCCCAAATCCTGCCAAGATTTGCCCAAATTCTCCCGGATTTGCCCCAAAAACCTCCAGATTTGCCCAAATTCTCCCGGATTTGCCCCAAATCCTGCCCAGATTTGCCCCAAATCCTGCCCAGATTTGCCCAAATCCCCCCAGATTTTCCCAATCTCCACCTGAATTTGCCCAAATCCCTCCGGATTTGCCCCAAATCCTGCCCAGTGTTGCCCAAATTCCTCCAGATTTCCCCCAAACCCCCCCAATTTCCCCCAAAATCCCCCTGAATTTCCCCAAACCCCCTGAATTTTCCCAAAATCCCCCTGAATTTCCCCCAAACCCCCTGAATTTCCCTCCAATTCCCCAAATTTCCCAAAACCTCTCGAATTCGCCCCAAATCCCACCCAGCAGGCGGAAGATGAAGTGCAGCTGCTCCTCCACGGTGGCCCCGGGGAACAGCGGCCGCCCCGTCACCATCTCCGAGAAGATGCAGCCGACCCCCCTGGCAGGAGAGACCCAAAAACCCCAAAATTACCCCAAAATTATCCCCAAAATTACCTCAAAATTACCTCAAAATTATCCCCAAAATTACCTCAAAATTACCCCAAAATTATACCCAAAATTACCTCAAAATTACCCCAAAATTACCTCCAAAATTACCTCAAAATTACCCCAAAATTATCCCCAAAATTACCTCAAAATTACCCCAAAATTATCCCCAAAATTACCCCCAAACTGACCCCCCTGGCAGGAGAGACCCCAAAAAAACCCCAAATTACCCCAAAATTATACCCAAAATTACCTCAAAATTATCCCCAAAATTACCTCAAAATTACCCCAAAATTATCCCCAAACTTACCTCAAAATTACCCCAAACTGACCCCCCTGGCAGGAGAGACCCAAAAAACCCCAAAATTACCCCAAAATTACCCCCCAAATTAACTCAAAATTACCCAAAAATTATACCCAAAATTACCTCAAAATTACCCCAAAATTATCCCCAAAATTACCTCCAAAATTACCCCAAAAAACCCAAACTGACCCCCCTGGCAGGAGAGACCCAAAAAAACCCAAAATTACCCCCAAAATTACCTCAAAATTATCCCCAAATTACCTCCAAAATTACCCCCCCGAAAAACCCAAACTGACCTCCCTGGCAGGAGAGACCCCAAAAAAACCCCAAAATTACCCAAAAATTATCCCCAAAATTATCCCCAAAATTACCTCAAAATTACCCCAAAATTATCCCCAAAATTACCTCAAAATTACCCCCAAAATTACCTCAAAATTACCCCAAAATTACCCCCAAAATTACCTCAAAATTACCCCCAAAATTACCTCAAAATTACCCCAAAATTATCCCCAAAATTACCCCCAAAATTAACCCCCAAAATTATCCCCAAAATTACCCCAAACTGACCCCAAAAATCCCAAAATATCCCCAATGGGACCCCCAAAGATCCCAAAATTATCCCAGTACCCCCCCCAGTCCCTCCCAGTGCCCCCAGTGCCCATCCCAGTACATCCCAGTAAATCCCAGTACATCCCAGTGAATCCCAGTGCCCCTGGCAGTGCCCCCAGTCCATCCCAGTCCCTCCCAGTGAATCCCAGTCCCTCCCAGTGAATCCCAGTCCCTCCCAGTGAATCCCAGTCCCTCCCAGTGCCCATCCCAGTGCCCCTCCCAGTGAATCCCAGTGCTCCCCATACCCATCCCAGTGCCCCCAGTGCCTATCCCAGTACATCCCAGTGAATCCCAGTGCCCCTGGCAGTGCCCCCAGTCCATCCCAGTCCCTCCCAGTGCCCATCCCAGTGAATCCCAGTGCCCATCCCAATGCCCCCAGTGCCCATCCCAGTACATCCCAGTACATCCCAGTAAATCCCAGTGCCCCCAGTCCCTCCCAGTGCCCATCCCAGTGAATCCCAGTAAATCCCAGTGCCCCCAGTGCCCATCCCAGTCCCTCCCAGTCCATCCCAGTGAATCCCAGTGCCCCCAGACCCATCCCAGTCCCTCCCAGTCCCTCCCAGTGCCCCCAGTGCCCATCCCAGTCCCTCCCAGTCCATCCCAGTGAATCCCAGTGCCCCCAGTGCCCATCCCAGTCCCTCCCAGTACATCCCAGTGAATCCCAGTGCCCCCAGTGCCCATCCCAGTGTCCCCCATACCCATCCCAGTCCCTCCCAGTGCCCATCCCAGTGAATCCCAGTGAATCCCAGTGCCCCCAGTCCGTCCCAGTCCCTCCCAGTGCCCCCAGTGCCCACCACATGTCGATCTGGGTGCTGTACTCGGTGGAGCCCAGCAGGATGTGCCTGTCCCAGTAAATCCCAGTGAATCCCAGTAAATCCCAGTGAATCCCAGTGCCCCTGGCAGTGCCCCCAGTCCATCCCAGTCCCTCCCAGTCGCTCCCAGTGCCCCCAGTGCCCACCACACGTCGATCTGGGTGCTGTACTTGGTGGAGCCCAGCAGGACGTGCCCGTCCCAGTAAATCCCAGTGAATCCCAGTGCCCCCAGTGCCCATCCCAGTAAATCCCAGTGAATCCCAGTCCCTCCCAGTGCTCCCAGTGCCCACCACATGTCGATCTGGGTGCTGTACTCGGTGGAGCCCAGCAGGATGTGCCCGTCCCAGTAAATCCCAGTCCATCCCAGTGCCCCCATACCCATCCCAGTCCCTCCCAGTGAATCCCAGTGCCCATCCCAGTCCCTCCCAGTCCCTCCCAGTCCCTCCCAGTGCCCCCAGTGCCCATCCCAGTCCCTCCCAGTGCCCATCCCAGTGAATCCCAGTGAATCCCAGTGCCCATCCCAGTCCCTCCCAGTCCATCCCAGTGCCCATCCCAGTAAATCCCAGTAAATCCCAGTGAATCCCAGTGCCCCCAGTGCCCATCCCAGTAAATCCCAGTGCCCCCCATACCCATCCCAGTCACTCCCAGTGAATTCCAGTCCCTCCCAGTGCCCATCCCAGTACATCCCAGTCCCTCCCAGTCCCTCCCAGTGCCCCCAGTCCCTCCCAGTGCCCATCCCAGTGAATCCCAGTCCCTCCCAGTCCCTCCCAGTCCCTCCCAGTCCGTCCCATACCCATCCCAGTGCCCCCCAGTGAATCCCAGTCCCTCCCAGTGCCCATCCCAGTGAATCCCAGTGAATCCCAGTGCCCCCAATCCCTCCCAGTGCCCATCCCAGTCCCTCCCAGTGCCCCCAGTGCCCACCACATGTCGATCTGGGTGCTGTACTCGGTGGAGCCCAGCAGGATGTCGGGCGGGCGGTACCAGAGCGTCACCACCTCGCTGGAGAACGTCTTGGTGGGGATGGACTTGGCCCGGGCCAGGCCTGGGGGGCACAAAATGGGGCTGGGGGGTCAAAAAATGGGGCTGGGGGGCATAAAATGGGGCTGGGGGGAACCAAATGGGGCTGGGGGGGCAAAAAATGGGGCTGGGGGGGCATAAAATGGGGCTGGGGGGCACAAAATGGGCACCAAATGGGGCTGGGGAGCACAAAATGGGCACCAAATGGGGCTGGGGGGGCAAAAAATGGGGCTGGGGGGCACCAAATGGGCACCAAATGGGGCTGGGGGGGCACCAAATGGGGCTGGGGGGGCACAAAATGGGGCTGGGGGGCACAAAATGGGGCTGGGGGGCACCAAATGGGGCTGGGGGGCACCAAATGGGCACCAAATGGGGCTGGGGGGCATAAAATGGGCAAAAAATGGGGCTGGGGGCACCAAATGGGCACAAAAAATGGGGCTGGGGGGCATAAAATGGGCACAAAATGGGGCTGGGGGGGCACCAAATGGGGCTGGGGGGCACCAAATGGAGCTGGGGGGTCAAAAAATGGGGCTGGGGGGCACAAAATGGGGCTGGGGGGGCACCAAATGGGGCTGGGGGGGCACCAAATGGGCACAAAATGGGGCTGGGGGGGCACAAAATGGGGCTGGGGGGCAAAAAATGGGGCTGGGGGGGCACCAAATGGGGCTGGGGGGGCACAAAATGGGGCTGGGGGGCACCAAATGGGCAAAAAATGGGGCTGGGGGGCACCGAATGGGGCTGGGGGGACATAAAATGGGGCTGGGGGGTCAAAAAATGGGCACAAAATGGGGCTGGGGGGGCACAAAATGGGCACCAAATGGGGCTGGGGGGCACAAAATGGGGCTGGGGGGGCACCAAATGGGGCTGGGGGGGCATAAAATGGGCAAAAAATGGGGCTGGGGGGGCACAAAATGGGCACCAAATGGGGCTGGGGGGCATAAAATGGGGCTGGGGGGCACCAAATGGGGGTGGGGGGCACAAAATGGGGCTGGGGGGCACCAAATGGGCACCAAATGGGGCTGGGGGGGCACCAAATGGGGCTGGGGGGGGCACAAAATGGGGTCCCAGATGAGGTTTTTGGGGTCCCAGGTGAGTTTTTGGGGTCCCAGGTGAGTTTTTGGGGTCCCAGGTGAGTTTTTGGGGTCCCAGATGAGGATTTTGGGGTCCCAGGTCAGGTTTTAGAGGTCCCAGGTGAGTTTTTAGGGTCCCAGGTGAGTTTTTGGGGTCCCAGGTGAGTTTTTGGGGTCCCAGATGAGGATTTTGGGTTCCCAGGTGAGTTTTTGGGGTCCCAGGTGAGTTTTTAGGGTCCCAGATGAGGATTTTGGGGTCCCAGATGAGTTTTTGAGGTCCCAGGTGAGTTTTTGGGGTCCCAGATGAGGATTTTGGGGTCCCAGGTGAGGTTTTTGGGGTCCCAGATGAAGATTTTGGGGTCCCAGGTCAGGTTTTTGAGGTCCCAGATGAGGATTTTGGGGTCCCAGGTCAGGTTTTTGAGGTCCCAGATGAGGATTTTGGGGTCCCAGGTGGGTTTTTGGGGTCCCGGGTGTTATTTTGGGGTCCCAGGTGGGTTTTTGGGGTCCCAGGTGTGTTTTTTGGGGTCCCAGATGAAGATTTTGGGGTCCCAGGTCAGGTTTTTGAGGTCCCAGATGAGGATTTTGGGTTCCCAGGTGGGTTTTTGGGGTCCCGGGTGAGTTTTTGGGGTCCCAGGTGAGATTTTGGGTTCCCAGGCGAATTTTTGGGGTCCCAGGTCAGGTTTTTAAGGTCCCAGGTGAGTTTTTGGGGTCCCAGGTGAGTTTTTGAGGTCCCAGATGAGGATTTTGGGGTCCCAGGTGAGTTTTTGGGGTCCCAGGTGAAGTTTTTGGGGTCCCAGGTCAGGTTTTTGGGGTCTCAGGTGAGTTTTTGGGGTCCCAGGTGAGTTTTCGGGGTCCCAGGTGAGTTTTTGGGGTCCCAGATGAGGATTTTGGGGTCCCAGGTGAGTTTTTGGGGTCCCAGGTGAAGTTTTTGGGGTCCCAGATGAGTTTTTGGGGTCCCAGATTAAGATTTTGAGGTCCCAGGTGAAGTTTTTGGGGTCCCAGATGAGTTTTTGGGGTCCCAGGTGAGGATTTTGGGGTCCCAGGTGAGGGTTTTGGGATCCCAGGTGAGTTTTTGGGGTCCCAGGTCAGGTTTTTGGGGTCCCAGATGAGCTTTCGGGGTCCCAGGTCAGGTTTTTGAGGTCCCAGGTGAGTTTTTGGGGTCCCAGGTCAGGTTTTTGGGGTCCCAGATGAGTTTTTGGGGTCCCAGATGAGTTTTTGGGGTCGCAGGTGAGTTTTTGGGTTCCCAGGTGAGTTTTTGGGGTCCCAGATGAGGATTTCGGGGTCCCAGGTGAAGTTTTTAAGGTCCCAGATGAGGATTTTGGGGTCCCAGGTGAGTTTTTCGGGTCCCAGGTCAGGTTTTTGAGGTCCCAGGTGAGGATTTCGGGGTCCCAGATGAGGATTTTGGGTTCCCAGGTGAGTTTTTGGGGTCCCAGGTGAGTTTTTGGGGTGCCCTGACCGAAATCCGCCAGTTTGAGGTCCCCCCGGCGGCTGAGGAGGAGGTTTTGGGGTTTGAGGTCGCGGTGCAGAACTTTGTGGCGGTGGCAGAAGGCGAGACCCCGCAGGAGCTGGAACAGGAACAGCTGCCCCCCAAAAACGGGCTGGGGACCCTCGGGGACACTCGGGGACAGGGAGGGGACAGGCAAAATTCCCCCAAAATATCCCCAAATTCCCCCAAAATATCCCCAAATTCCCCCAAAATCCCCACAACCCCTCACCCAGATGTTGTTCATGCTGATGGCTTCAAAATCCGCCCCCAAAAAAACCCAAACTCCCCCAAAATTCCCCCAAAACCACCCTAAATCCCTCTCCAAATCTCCCCAAACAGCCCCAAATCCCCCTAAATAACCCCAAAATCCCCCAAAATCCCCCAAAATCCCGAGCCCTCACCCTGACGTTGTGCATGCTGATGGCATCAAAATCCCCCCAAAAAAACCCCAAATTCCCCCAAAACCACCCTAAATCCCTCTCCAAATCTCCCCAAACAGCCCCAAATCCCCCTAAATAACCCCAAAATCCCCAAAATCCCCCAAAATCCCCCAAAATCCCCCAAAATCCCCCAAAATCCCGAGCCCTCACCCTGACGTGCATGCTGATGGCATCAAAATCCCCCCCAAAAAAAACCCCAAATTCCCCCAAAATACCCCAAAACCACCCTAAATCCCTCTCCAAATCTCCCCAAATACCCCTAAATAATCCCAAAATCCCCCAAAATCCCCCAAAATCCCCCAAAATCCCAAGGCCTCACCCTGACGTTGTGCATGCTGATGGCATCAAAATCCCCCCCAAAAAAAACCCCAAATTCCCCCCAAATTCCCCCAAAACCACCCTAAATCCCTCTCCAAATCTCCCCAAACAGCCCCAAATCCCCCTAAATAACCCCAAAATCCCCCAAAATCCCCCAAAATCCCCCAAAATCCCCCAAAATCCCCCAAAATCCTAAGCCCTCACCCTGACGTTGTGCATGCTGATGGCATCAAAATCCCCCCCAAAAAACCCCCAAATTCTCCCAAAATTCCCCCAAAACCACCCTAAATCCCCCTCCAAATCTCCCCAAACAGCCCCAAATCCCCCTAAATAACCCCAAAATCCCCCAAAATCCCCCAAAATCCCCCAAAATCCCAAGGCCTCACCCTGACGTTGTGCGTGCTGATGGCATCAAAATCCCACCAAAAAAACCCCAAATTCCCCCAAAATCACCCTAAATCCCTCTCCAAATCTCCCCAAACAGCCCCAAATCCCCCTAAATAACCCCAAAATCCCCCAAAATCCCCCAAAATCCCCCAAAATCCCCCAAACCCCTCACCTTGACCTTGTGCGTGCTGATGGCATCAAAATCCCCCCCAAAAAAACCCCAAATTCCCCCAAAATTCCCCCAAAACCACCCCAAATCCCTCTCCAAATCTCCCCAAATACCCCCAAATCCCCCTAAATAACCCCCAAATCCCCAAAATCCCCAAAATCCCCCAAAATCCCCCAAAATCCCCAGCCCTCACCCTGACGTTGTGCATGCTGATGACGTTCCCACAATCATCCAGGTACTGCTTGAGGTCCCGGTCCTGGGGAAAAAAACAGAAAATCCCAAATTTTGGGGGATTTTGGGGCATTCTGGGGGGTTTGAGAGTTCCCCAGAGGGAATTTTGGGGTCCTGGGGTGAATTTCAGGGGGATTTTGGGGTGAATTTGGGTGAATTTTGGGGGGATTCTGGGGGGATTTCAGGATGAATTTTGGGTGAATTTTGGGGTGAATTTGAGGTGATTTTAGGGGGATTTTGGGATGGTTTTGGGTGGATTTTGGGGTGAATTTCAGGGTGATTTGGGGTGGATTTGGGGTGAATTTTAGGGTGATTTAGGGGAGATTTTGGGGTAAATTTCAGGTGGATTTTGGGGTGGTTTAGGGGAGATTTTGGGGTGATTTTAGGGTGAATTTTGGGGTGAATTTGGGGGGATTTATTGTGAATTTTAGGGTGATTTAGGGCTAATTCTGTTGTGAATTTTAGGGTGATTTATGGGAGGTTTTGGGGTGACTTTAAGGTGTATTTTGGGGTGAATTTTGGTGGATTTTGGGGTGGATTTTGGGTGAATTTTAGGGTGAATTTTGGTGGATTTTGGGGTGAATTTTAGGGTGATTTAGGGGAGGTTTTGGGATGATTTTGGGGTGAATTTTGAGCTGAATTTGGGGGGATTTGTTGTGAATTTTAGGGTGATTTAGGGGAGGTTTTGGGGTGATTTTAAGGTGAATTTTGAGCTGAATTTGGGGGGATTTGTTGTGAATTTTAGGGTGATTTAGGGCTAATTCTGTTGTGAATTTTGGGGTGATTTAGGGGAGATTTTGGGTTGATTTTAAGGTGGATTTTGGGGTGATTTAGGGGAGATTTTGGGGTAAATTTCAGGTGGATTTTGGGTGATTTAGGGGAGATTTTGGGATGATCTAGGGGTGGATTTTGGGGTGAATTTCAGGATGATTTTGGGGTGGTTTAGGGGAGATTTTGGGGTGATTTTAAGGTGAATTTTGGGGTGAATCGGGGAGGATTTATTGTGAATTTTAGGGTGATTTAGGAGAGGTTTTGGGATGATTTTAGGGTGAATTTTAGGGTGATTTAGGGCTAATTCTGTTGTGAATTTTAGGGTGATTTAGGGGAGGTTTTGGGGTGAATTTTGGGGTGAATTTTGAGCCGAATTTGGGGGGATTTGTTGTGAATTTTAGGGTGATTTAGGGCGAATTTTGTTGTGAATTTTAGGGTGATTTAGGGGAGGTTTTGGGGTGACTTTAAGGTGAATTTTGGGGTGAATTTGGGGGGATTTTAAGGTGAATTTTGGGGTGATTTAGGGGAGATTTTGGGGTGATTTTAGGGTGAATTTTGGGGTGAATTTGGGGGAATTTGTTGTGAATTTTAGGGTGATTTAGGGGAGGTTTTGGGGTAAATTTCAGGTGGATTTTGGGGTGATTTTGGGGTGAATTTTGGGGTGAATTTTGGTGGATTTTGGGGTGGATTTTGGGTGAATTTTAGGGTGAATTTTGGTGGATTTTGGGGTGAATTTTAGGGTGATTTAGGGGAGGTTTTGGGGTGATTTTAAGGTGGATTTTGGGGTGATTTAGGGGAGATTTTGGGGTAAATTTCAGGTGGATTTTGGGGTGATTTAGGGGAGGTTTTGGGGCGATTTTAGGGTGAATTTTGGGGTGAATTTGGGGGGATTTGTTGTTAATTTTAGGGTGATTTAGGGGAGATTTTGGGGTGATTTTAAGGTGAATTTTGGGGTGAATCTGGGGGGATTTGTTGTGAATTTTAGGGTGATTTAGGGCTAACTTTGTTGTGAATTTTGGGGTGATTTAGGGGAGGTTTTGGGGTGATTTTAAGGTGAATTTTGAGCCGAATTTGGGGGGATTTGTTGTGAATTTTAGGGTGATTTAGGGCTAATTTTGTTGTGAATTTTAGGATGATTTAGGGGAGGTTTTGGGGTGATTTTAGGGTGAATTTTGAGCTGAATTTGGGGGGATTTGTTGTGAATTTTAGGGTGATTTAGGGGAGGTTTTGGGGTGATTTTAGAGTGAATTTTGGGGTGAATTTGGGGGGATTTGTTGTGCATTTTGGGGTGATTTAGGGCTAATTTTGTTGTGAATTTTAGGGTGATTTAGGGGAGGTTTTGAGGTGATTTTAAGGTGAATTTTGGGGTGAATTAGGGGAGGTTTTGGGGTGATTTTAAGGTGAATTTTGAGCCGAATTTGGGGGGATTTTTGGTGAATTTTAGGGTGATTTAGGGGAGGTTTTGGGGTGAATTTTGGGCTGAATTTGGGGGGATTTGTTGTGAATTTTAGGGTGATTTAGGGGAGGTTTTGGGGTGATTTAAGGTGAATTTTGAGCCGAATTTGGGGGGATTTTAAGGTGAATTTTGGGGTGATTTAGGGGAGGTTTTGGGGTGATTTTAAGGTGGATTTTGGGGTGAATTTGGGGGGATTTGGGGCTCACCAGGTACTCGAAGACCAGCGTCAGGCACTGCGGCGTGTGCACGATGTCGTGCAGCGTCACCACGTTGGCGTGTTTGAGGTCCCGCAGGAGTGACACTGTGGGGACATCGGGGACATCGGGGACATCGGGGACATCGGGGACATTGGGGACATCGGGGACATCGGGGACATTGGGGACATTGGGGACATTGGGGGGACATCGGGGACATTGGGGACATTGGCGGGACATCGGGGACATTGGGGGCATTGGGGGCATTGGGGGGACATTGGGGACATTGGGGACATTGGGGGGACATTGGGGACATTGGGGACATTGGGGACATTGGGGACATTGGGGACATCGGGGACATTGGGGACATTGGGGACATTGGGGGACATTGGGGACATTGAGAGGACATTGGGGACATTGGGGGGACATTGGGGGGATTGGGGACATTGGGGACATTGGGGACATTGGGGGGACATTGGGGACATTGGGGACATGGAGGGAGCCACCCCCAGACCGCCCTGACCCCTCCCCACCACAGCGACCCCCCGGTGTCCCCAAAGTGTCCCCAAGGTGTCCCCAGGGTGTCCCCAATGTCCCCAAGGTGTCCCCAGGGTGTCCCCAATGTGTCCCCAGGCTGTCCTCAAGGTGTCCCCAATGTCCCCAATGTCCCCAATGTCCCCAAGGTGTCCCACCCTCGCGGATGGCTTTGCAGGCTGTGTCCCCATGCTGTCCCCAATGTCCCCAGGGTGTCCCCAAGGTGTCCCCAGGGTGTCCCCAATGTCCCCAATGTCCCCAAGGTGTCCCACCCTCGCGGATGGCTTTGCAGGCTGTGTCCCCATGCTGTCCCCAATGTCCCCAAGGTGTCCCCAAGGTGTCCCCAGTGTCCCACCCTCGCGGATGGCCGTGCAGGCTGTGTCCCCAGGGTGTCCCCAAGGTGTCCCCAATGTCCCCAATGTCCCACCCTCGCGGATGGCCGTGCAGGGCGCCCCCTCCTCGTGCTCCAGGCGGATTTCCTTCAGTGCCACCAGGTTCTCGGTCAGTTTGCTGCGGCCCTTGTACACCGTGGCGTAGGTGCCCTGGGACAGAGGGGACACATTGGGGACATCATCAGGGACATCATCAGGGACAGCAGGGACACATGTACACCGTGGCGTACGTGCCCTGGGACAGAGGGGACACATTGGGGACACATTGGGGACATTGGGGACAGAGGGGACACATTGGGGACATCAGGGACATCATCAGGGGACATGGGGACAGAGGGGACACAGGGACACATTGGGGACATCATCAGGGACATTGGGGACATCATCAGGGACAGCAGGGACACCTGTACACCGTGGCGTACGTGCCCTGGGACAGAGGGGACATCATCAGGGACATTGGGGACATGTTGGGGACATCAGCGGGGACAGTGGGGACACATGTACACCATGGCGTACGTGCCCTGGGGACAGAGGGGACAGAGGGGACACGTTGGGGACATCATCAGGGGATATGGGGACAGAGGGGACATCATCAGGGATAGCAGGGACACTGCAGTGTATGTGCCCTGGGGACAGAGGGGACATTGGGGACATGCTGGGGACATCAGCGGGGACATTGGGGACAGCAGCAGGGACACTGCACACTGTGGCATACGTGCCCTGGGGACAGCAGGGGACAGAGGGACACACTGGGGACATCATCAGGGACAGCAGGGGACAGCAGGGGACATTGGGGACATGGGGACATCATCAGGGGCATCTGAGGGACAGCAGGGACACTGTACACCGTGGCGTAGGTGCCCTGGGGACAGAGGGGACAGAGGGGACACACTGGGGACATCAGCAGGGGACATGGGGACAGAGGGGACATCATCAGGGACAGGAAGGACACCTGTACACCGCGGCGTAGGTGCCCTGGGACAGAGGGGACACAGGGACACATTGGGGACATCATCAGGGGACATGGGGACATCAGCAGGGACATTGGGGACACGTTGGGGACATCAGTGGGGACATCTGAGGGGACACAGGGCCATGAAGGACACAGGGACACGGGGGGGACAGGTGTGACACAGGTGACACAGGTGACACACAGGTGTGACACAGAGGTGACACACAGGTGACACAGGTGACACAGGTGACACAGGTGACACAGGTGACACACAGGTGACACACAGGTAATACAGAGGTGACACAGGTGACACAGGTGACACACTCAGGTGACACAGATGACACAGGTGACACAGGTGGCACACAGGTGACACAGAGGTGACACACAGGTGACACAGGTGACACAGGTGACACACAGGTGACACAGAGGTGACACAGGTGACAGAGGTGACACAGGTGACACACAGGTGACACAGGTGACACAGGTGACACAGGTGACACTGAGGTGACACAGGTGACACACAGGTGACACAGGTGTGACACAGAGGTGACACTCAGGTGACACACAGGTGACACAGGTGACACACAGGTGACACAGGTGACACAGGTGACACAGAGGTGACACAGGTGACACACAGGAGGTGACACAGGTGACACAGGTGACACACAGGTGACACACACAGGTGACACACAGGTGACACAGGTGACCCAGGTGACACAGAGGTGACACACAGAGGTGACACAGGTGACACAGGTGACACTCAGGTGACACAGGTGACACAGGTGACACAGGTGACACACAGGTGACACACAGGTGACACAGGTGGCACAGGTGACACAGGTGACCCAGGTGACACAGGTGACACAGGTGACACACACAGGTGGCACAGGTGACACAGGTGACACACACAGGTGACACAGGTGACACAGGTGACACAGGTGACACACAGGTGACACACAGGTGACACAGGTGACACACAGGTGACACACAGGTGACACTCAGGTGACACAGGTGACACAGGTGACACAGTTGACACAGGTGACACAGGTGACACAGGTGACACAGAGGTGACACAGGTGACACAGAGGTGACACAGATGACACAGTTGACACACAGGTGTGACACAGGTGTGACACAGGTGACACAGGTGACACACAGGTGTGACACAGGTGTGACACAGGTGACACAGGTGACACAGGTGACACAGAGGTGACACACTCAGGTGACACAGAGGTGACACACAGGTGACACAGGTGACCCAGGTGACACAGGTGACACAGAGGTGACACACAGGTGACACAGAGGTGACACAGAGATGACACAGGTGACACACAGGAGGTGACACACAGGTGACACAGGTGACACAGGTGACACAGAGATGACACACAGAGGTGACACAGGTGACACAGGTGACACACAGGTGACACTCAGGTGACACAGGTGACACAGGTGACACAGGTGACACACACAGGTGTGACACAGGTGACACAGAGGTGACACAGGTGACACAGGTGACACAGGTGACACAGGTGACACAGGTGACACAGGTGACACGGGTGACAGCTGCCCTCACCTCGCCCAGTTTGTCCAGTTTCACGTACGTCTCCAGTTTCCCGAAGCCGATTTCCGACTGTGGGGGAGGGGCGCGGTCAGGGCAGGGCGGGGCCGGCCCGGCCCAGCTCCAAACCGGTCTGAACTGGTCTGGACTGGTCTGGACTGGTCTGGACTGGTCCATACTGGTCCGTACTGGTCTGCACTGGCCTGTACTTGTCCATACTGGCCCGCACTGGTCTATACTGGTCCACACTGGGCCATACTGGCCTGCACTGGACTATACTGGTTCATACTGGTTTATACTGGCCTGCACTGGTCTATACTGGCCCATACTGGTCTATACTGGTCTATACTGGTCTGTACTGGCCCACACCAGCCCATACTGATCTATACTGGTCCATACTGGTTTATACTGGTCTATGCTGTCCCACACCAGCCCGCACTGGTTTATACTGGTCCACACTGGCCCATACTGGCCCGCACTGGTCTGTACTGGTCCATACTGGTCTATGCTGTCCCACACTGGGCCCTACTGGTCCATACTGTTTCATACTGGTTTATATTGGCCTATACTGGTCCGTACTGGTTTATACTGGTCTGTACTGGTCTGTACTGGTCCATACTGGTCCATACTGGCCCGTACTGGTCCGTACTGGTTTGTACTGATCTATACTCGTCCATACTGGCCCATAGTGGTCCGTACTGGTTTATACTGGTCCATACCGGCCCATACTGGTCTATGCTGTCCCATACTGGCCCATACTGGTCTGCACTGGTCCATACTGTCCCACACTGGTCCATACTGGTTTATACTGGTCCGTACTGGTGCGTACCAGGGAGACGCGGCGCAGGCGGCGGCTCAGGGCCCCGGGCAGCCCCAGCGGAGCCTCGGGCAGGCGCGGGTCGGCCGGGAGGGACAAACGCTTGGTGACGTCCTGGCAGGGACACGGGGACACGGGGCACGGCTGGCACGGCTGGCACCGGGCTCCCAGTGCCCTCCCAGTGCTCCCAGTTCAACCCAGTTCAACCCAGAGCCCTCCCAGTGCCCCCCAGTTTGCCCAGTCTCCCCAGCCCCCCAGTCCCTCCCAGTCCCTCCCAGTTTACCCAGTTTGTCCAGCCCCCCCAGTTTGCCCAGTTTGCCCAGTTTGCCCAGTCCCTCCCAGTCTCCCCAGTTTGCCCAGTTTGCCCAGTCTCCCCAGTTTGCCCAGTCCCCCCAACCCCCCCAGCCCCCCAGTTTGCCCAGTTTGCCCAGCCCCCCCAGCCCTCCCAGCCCCCCAGTTTGCCCAGTTTGCCCAGTTTGCCCAGTCCCTCCCAGTTTGCCCAGCCCCCCCAGCCCCCCAGTTTGCCCAGTCTCCCCAGTCCCCCCAGCCCCCCCAGCCCCCCCAGTCCCTCCCATCCCCCCCAGCCCCCCAGTTTGCCCAGTTTGCCCAGTCCCCCCAGCCCCCCCAGTCCCTCCCAGTTTGCCCAGTTTGCCCATCCCCCCCAGTCCCTCCCAGTTTGCCCAGTTTGCCCAGCCCCCGCAGTCCCCCCAGTCTGCCCAGTCTCCCCAGCCCCCCAGTCTGCCCAGTTTGCCCAGTTTGCCCAGTCCCCCCAATCCCCCCAGCCCCCCCAGCCCCCCCAGTTTGCCCAGCCCCCCCAGTCCCTCCCAGTCTGCCCAGTCTCCCCAGCCCCCCAGTTTGCCCAGTCTGCCCAGTTTGCCCAGTCCCTCCCAGTCCCCCCAGTTTGCCCATCCCCCCCAGCCCCCCAGTCCCTCCCAGTCCCCCCCAGTTCTCTCCCAGTCCCTCCCAGTCCATCCCAATACCCCCCAATCCCCTCCCAGTTTGTCCCAGTTCCCCCCAATCCCCTCCCAGTCCCTCCCAGTTTGCCCAGTTTGCCCAGTTTGCCCAGTTCCCAGCCCACCTCGCCGGCGCCGTGCCGCGGGTGCTGCCGCAGCCTCACGGGTGACGCCACCTCCTCCGAGGATGTCCCCGAGGGGGGGTCGCTCTCCCCGTCCGACCCCATCCGCGCCTCGTCCCCCCCCGGCTCTGGGGGCACGGGGGGTCAGGGACCCCCGCACACCCAAAATGTCCCCAAGTGTCCCCAAATGTCCCCAAATGTCCCCAAATGTCCCCAGTGCCCCCCCGATGTCCCCAAATGTCCCCCCAATGTCCCAAAATGTCCCCAAATGTCCCCCCAATGTCCCCAGTGTCCCTCCCAATGTCCCCAGTGTCCCCCCAAACCCCAGGGCCCCCCCCAATGTCCCCAATGTCCCCCCCAATGTCCCCAATGTCCCCACAAACCTCAGGGACCCCCCCCAATGTCCCCAAATGTCCCCCCCAAACTCCAGGGACCCCCCAATGTCCTCCCCAATGTCCCAAATGTCCCCCCCAATCCCCAGGGACCCCCCCAATGTCCCCGGTGTCACCCCCAAACTCCAGGGACCCCCCCCAATGTCCCCAAATGTCCCCCCAATGTCCCCAGTGTCCCCCCAGTGTCCCCCCAATGTCCCCAGTGTCCCCCCAATGTCCCCAATGTCCCCCCAAACCCCAGTGTCCCTCCCAATGTCCCCCCCAATGTCCCCACAGGTCCCACACCGTGTCCCCCCCTGCCCCCCCAATTTGGGGACACGGAGGTGACGCGGGGACAGCGCCCGGCCGGTGGCACCGGGGACAGGTGGTGACACCTGGGGGGGCACCGGGACAGGTGGTGGCACCTGGGGGGGCACCAGGACAGGTGGTGGCACCTGGGGGGGCACCGGGACAGGACACGGGGACAGATGGACGGACAGGGGGGGGGGGGGACAGGGACAGATGGGGAGGGGGGACACGGGGGGGGACAGGAGGGGACCCCCGGGTCTTAAAGGGGCCGTGTCCTGCTTGGGGGGGCTTAAAGGGACAGGCACCCCAAAATATACCCCCCTGCCCGCTTCTTAAAGGGACAGGCACCCCCTTAAAGGGACAGGCACCCCCTTAAAGGGACAGGCACCCTCTTAAAAGGAGAAGAACCCTCTTAAAGGGACAGGCACCCCAAAATATACCCCAATGCCCGCTTCTTAAAGGGACAGGCACCCCAAAATGTGCCCCCCTGTCAGCTTCTTAAAGGGACAGGCACCCCCTTAAAGGGACAGGCACCCCAAAATGTGTCCCCCTGCCCGCTTCTTAAAGGGACAGGCACCCCCTTAAAGGGACAGGCACCCCCTTAAAGGGACAGACACCCCCTTAAAGGGACAGGCACCCTCTTAAAGGGACAGGTACCCTCTTAAAGGGACAGGCACCCCAAAATGTGCCCCCCTGCCAGCTTCTTAAAGGGACAGGCACCCCCTTAAAGGGACAGGCACCCCAAAATGTGCCCCCCTGGCAGCTTCTTAAAGGGACAGGCACCCCCTTAAAGGGACAGGCACCCCCTTAAAGGGACAGGCACCCCTTAAAGGGACAGGCACCCCAAAATGTGTCCCCCTGCCCGCTTCTTAAAGGGACAGGCACCCCCTTAAAGGGACAGGCACCCCCTTAAAGGGACAGGCACCCCAAAATGTGTCCCCCTGCCCGCTTCTTAAAGGGACAGGCACCCCCTTAAAGGGACAGACACCCCCTTAAAGGGACAGGCACCCCAAAATGTGCCCCCCCCGCCAGCTTCTTAAAGGGACAGGCACCCCCTTAAAGGGACAGGGACCATCTTAAAGGGACAGGCACCCCCTTAAAGGGACAGGCACCCCCTTAAAGGGACAGGCACCCCAAAATGTGCCCCCCTGTCAGCTTCTTAAAGGGACAGGCACCCCAAAATGTGCCCCCCTGCCCGCTTCTTAAAGGGACAGGCACCCCCTTAAAGGGACAGGCACCCTCTTAAAAGGACAGACACCCTCTTAAAGGGACAGGCACCCCAAAATGTGCCACCCCTGCCAGCTTCTTAAAGGGACAGGCACCCCCTTAAAGGGACAGGCACCCTCTTAAAGGGACAGGCACCCCCTTAAAGGGACAGGCACCCCAAAATGTACCCCCCTGACAGCTTCTTAAAGGGACAGACACCCCCTTAAAGGGACAGGCACCCCAAAATGTGTCCCCCCCTGCCAGCTTCTTAAAGGGACAGACACCCCCTTAAAGGGACAGGCACCCCAAAATGTGCCCCCCTGCCCGCTTCTTAAAGGGACAGGCACCCCAAAATGTGCCCCCCTGCCCACTTCTTAAAGGGACAGGCACCCCCTTAAAGGGACAGGCACCCCCTTAAAGGGACAGGCACGCCAAAATGTGCCCCCCCTGCCAGCTCCTTAAAGGGACAGGCACCCTCTTAAAGGGACAGGCACCCTCTTAAAGGGACAGGAACCATCTTAAAGGGACAGGCACCCCAAAATGTGCCAACTCTACCTTCCTAAAGGGCCAGGCACCCTCTTAAAGGGCCAGGCACCCTCTTAAAGGGCCAGGCACCCTCTTAAAGGGCCAGGCACCTTCTTAAAGGGCCAGGCACCTCTCAATCCTGCCCCCACCTCCTTAAAGGGCCAGATCCCCATTTGGGGGGTGGGGCTCCCCTTAAAGGGCCAGATCCCCATTTGGGGGGGGCGGGGCTCCCCTTAAAGGGCCAGATCCCCACTTGGGGGGGGCGGGGCTCCCCTTAAAGGGCCAGATCCCCATTTGGGGGGGGCGGGGCTCCCCTTAAAGGGCCAGATCCCCATTTTGGGGGGCGGGGCTCCCCTTAAAGGGCCAGATCCCCATTTGGGGGGGGGGGGGGCTCCCTTTAAAGGGCCAGATCCCCACTTGGGGGGGGCGGGGCTCCCCTTAAAGGGCCAGATCCCCATTTGGGGGGGGCGGGGCTCCCCTTAAAGGGCCAGATCCCCATTTGGGGGGGCGGGGCTCGCTGCGGGGGGCGGGGCTCCCCTTAAAGGGCCAGATCCCCACTTGGGGGGGGCGGGGCTCCCCTTAAAGGGCCAGATCCCCATTTGGGGGGGCGGGGCTCCCCTTAAAGGGCCAGATCCCCATTTGGGGGGGGCGGGGCTCCCCTTAAAGGGCCAGATCCCCATTTGGGGGGGGGCGGGGCTCCCCTTAAAGGGCCAGATCCCCACTTGGGGGGGGGGGCTCCCCTTAAAGGGCCAGCACTCACCGCTGTCGCTGCCGTCGCGGGGGTCCCCCAGGCCCTTGTCGGGGGCGCGGCCGCCCCGCAGCGTCATGGAGAGCTGCCGCTTGATCTTCTTCATGCGGTCCATGGCCACCTGCGGGCACAGCGGGCACGGCTGGGTACACCTGGATTGACCCTGAACACCTGGGCACAGCTGGGCATGGCCTGAACACCTGGGCACAGCTGGGCACAGCTGGGCATAGCCTGAACACCTGGGCACAGCTGGGCACAGCTGGGCATGGCCTGAACACCTGGGCACAGCTGGGCACGGCCTGAACACCTGGGCACAGCTGGGCATAACCTGAACACCTGGGCACAGCTGGGCACGGCCTGAACACCTGGGCACAGCTGGGCACACCTGGATTTCCCCTGAACACCTGGCACCCACCCTGCACACCGGAGCACACCTGGGCACACCTGGAGCTACCCTGCACACCGGGGCACACCTGGGCACACCTGGGCACACCTGGGCACCCCCTCACACCGGGGCATCCCGGGCACACCTGGGCACCCCTGGGCACACCGGGGCATCCCCTCACACCTGGGCACACCTGGGCACACCTGGGCACAGCTGGGATACACCTGGGCACCCCTGGGCACACCTGGGCACCCCTGGGCACACCTGGGCACACCTGGGCACCCCTGGGCACACCAGGGCACACCTGGGCACCCCTGGGCACACCTGGGCACACCTGGGCACCCCCTCACACCTGGGCACACCTGGGCACACCTGGGCACCCCTGGCTCCTCCCACCCCCCCTCCTGCCCACCCTCCCCCCCCGGTGCCCCGGGAGGGGCGTGGCCTCCCCCCCCCCCCCCCCCCCTCTCCCCGCTGCCCTCACAGCGGCCGCGGCCCCGCGGAGGGATCCCGGGGGTGCTCCCGGTCGTTCCCGGGGCTGTTTCCCGTTACCGGCTCAGCGGCGCGGAGCCTCCCAGAAATCCTCGGCCATGGCGGGGCCGGGCCCGACCCCGCGGGCGGCTCCGGTGGGGCCGGGCCGGGCCGGGCCGGGCCGGGCCGGGCGGGAGCGGCGGCGGCGGCGGCGGCGGCGCAAGATGGCGGCGGGGGTGGGGCTGCGTGACGTCAGCGCGAGGGGCGGGGCGATGCGCTGGGGGCGTGGTTAGAGCGGGGTGACGTCAGCGCAAAGGGCGGGAAGGAGCGGTGGAAAAGGGGCGGGGCTTATGAGGACACGCCCCCTTTGGGACCCTGCTGACCCCCCCAATTAACTCATTAATTACTCCAGGGTTGCTCCCAGCTCCCTCCTGTGTGCCCCACATTGCCCTGCTCAGCTTTACACACAGGAGTAAAAACTGATTTACTCCTGTTTTACACACAGGAGGAAAAACTCTGATTTACTCCTGTTTTACACACAGGTGTAAAAACTCTGATTTACTCGTGTTTTACACACAGGAGTAAAAACTCTGATTTACTCCAGCTTTACACACACGTCACTCCCAGGTGTAAAAACTCTGATTTACTCCAGATTTACACACAGGTGTAAAAACTCTGATTTACTCCAGATTTACACACAGGTGTAAAAACTCCATTTTATTCCAGCTTTACACACACGTCACTCCCAGGTGTAAAACCCACCTTTACACACAGGTTACTCCACAGTGTAAAACTCCATTCTATTTCTGCTTTGCACACAATTCACTCCCAGGTGTAAAAATTCCTTTTTACTCATGTTTTACATATGTGTATGTATAAAAAACTCCATTTTATTCCGGCTTTACACACAGGTTACTCCCAGGTGTAAAACCCACCTTTACACACAGGTTACTCCACGGTGTAAAATCTCCATTCTATTTCTGCTTTGCACACAATTCGGTCCCACGTGTAAAAATTCCTTTTTACTCATATTTTACATACGTGTATGTATAAAAAACTCCATTTTATTCCGGCTTTACACACAAGTTACTCCCGGTTGTAAAACCTGCTTTATTCCAGCTTTACACACAGGTTACTCCCGGGTGTAAAAATTCCTTTTTACTCATATTTTACACACATGTATGAATAAAAAACTCCATTTTATTCGGGTGTTACACACAGGTTACTCCTGGTTGTAAAAATTCCTTTTTACTCATATTTTACATACGTGTATGTATAAAAAACTCCATTTTATTCCGGCTTTACACACAGGTTACTCCTGGTTGTAACACTCCGATTTACTCCAGGTTTACACACGGGTGTCCCAAGGGGTCAGGGGTCAGGGGTCAGAGGTCACGGGGGGCTCCTGCAGCCCCTGCAGCTCCCGCAGGCCCTGGAGGGGGAGGGGCAGAGCGTGTGGGGGGCGTGGCCCGCCGGGAGGGGGCGTGGCCCGCCGGGAGGGGCGTGGCCAGGTGAGGGGGCGTGGCCAGGTGAGGGGGCGTGGCCAGGTGAAGGGGGCGGGGTTACCTCCAGCACCAGGCGGATGTGGGCGCGGATCTTGGCGCCGTCGCGCGTCAGCGATTCGCTGAGCCTGCGGGGGGCGGGGCTTAGGTGGGTGTGGCCCGATTATTAGCATGACAAAACCACGCCCCCTTTGTCATTAGGGTGGGGTGCGCCTTCCTTTTATGGTGTGGGCGTGGCGGGCGTGGCATGAGGGAGGAAATGCCTTTTATGGGGTGGGTGTGGCCAAAGGGGCGTGGTTTGCCCACCTGGAGCCACCTGTGAGCGCAGGTGTGCGCAAAGGGGCGTGGCATAAGTGGGTGTGGTCCAAAAGGGGCGTGGCCTAAGTTGGTGTGGTCCAAAAGGGGCGTGGCACTGGGATGGGCGTGGCTCCCCAAGGGGGCGTGGCCTCGATGGGTGTGGCCTCAACAAAGGGGCGTGGCCAAGGCAGAATGACCAATGGCGTGCTCAGGATTTGTGGGCGTGGTCAGGGCGTGGCAGGGGCGTGGCAGGGGGGCGTGGCCAAGTCAGACTGACCAATGGCGCGCTCAGGGTTTGTGGGCGTGGTCAGGGTGTGGCAGGGGCGTGGCCACGGGGGCGTGGCCAAGGCAGACTGACCAATGGCGCGCTCAGGTCTTGTGGGCGTGGTCAGGGCGTGGCAGGGGGCGTGGCAGGGGGGCGTGGCCAAGGGAGACTGACCAATTGCGTGCTCAGGGTTTGTGGGCGTGGTCAGGGCGTGGCGGGGGCGTGGCGAGGGGGCGTGGCCAAGGCAGAATGACCAATGGCGTGCTCAGGGTTTGTGGGCGTGGTCAGGGCGTGGTCAGGGCGTGGTCAGGGCGTGGTAGGGGGGCGTGGCCAGGGGGCGTGGCCGGCCGTCTCACCTCTGCAGGAGCGAACTGCGGCGCTCCAGGTGCCGAAGGGCCTCGGGCAGCGTCAGCTCCGCGAAGAATCCGAACCCCAAAGCCACGAAAACGCGCCGGGGGTCCGGGCTGGGGGCAGAAAAGGGGTCTGGGGGTGCCCCGAGAGGTTTTGGGGGGTCCCAGGGGTGGGGGAGGCTCAGGGGAATCGAATTTTGGGGTTTTTGGGGAGGGTTTGGGATCTCAAAGGGAATTTCGGGGGGAGTTGAGAGTTTTCCTAAAAGGGGTCCCAAAAGTGCCCCGGTTGGGCCTGGGGAGGTCTGGGGGGACTCAGAAGAGTTTTGGGGTTCCTGAAGTGGTTTTTGGGGGTCTGAGATGGTTTTTGGGGGTCGGAGACAGTTTTTGGGGGTCTGAGATGGTTTTCAGGGGTCTGAGACATTTTTTGGGGGCTCTTTGACGATTTTTGTGTCTGAGGAAGTTTTTGGAGGGTCTGATGAGGTTTTTTGGGGGTCTGAAGAGATTTTTGGGGGGTCTGAGGAGGTTTTTGGGGGACTGAAGAGGTTTTCAGGGGGTCTGAGGACATTTTTTGGGGGCCTGAGGAGGTTTTTGGAAGGTCTGAGGGGGTTTTCGGGGGGCCTGAGGAGGTTTTTGGGGGGTCTGAGGAGGTTTTTGGAGGGTCTGATGAGGTTTTTTGGGGGTCTGAGGAGGTTTTTGGGGGCCTGAGGAGGTTTTTTGGGGGCCTGAGGAGGTTTTTGGAAGGTCTGAGGGGGTTTTCAGGGGGTCTGAAGAGATTTTTGGGGGGTCTGAGGAGGTTTTTGGAAGGTCTGAGGAGGTTTTTGGGGGATCTGAGGAGATTTTTGGGGGGTCTGAGGAGGTTTTTGGGGCGCCAGCCCCACTCACACTTCCGCACTGACGAAGAAATTGCAGCCGAGATCCACCTGAGTGTGCAGGGGGGCGTCGACGTCCTGGGGACCCCAAAACCCCCCGAGACCCCCGGGGTCACACAGAGAGCCCCAAACACCCCCAGGGACCCCAAATCTCAACCCCCAACACCCCTAGAACCCCGCTACTCCCCCCAAATCCCTTCCACAAGACCCCCAATTACCCCCAAATCCCCCCATCTCTCCTCAAAATCCCCCAAATCCCTTTCACAAGACCCCCAATTCCCCCCAAAACCCCCCACGAGACTCCCAGAAACCCCCCCCCACCCTCCAAAACCCCTCAGGAAAACACCCCCCGTACCCCCCCAAAACCCCCCCTGAGCCCCCCAAATTCCCCCTCAGGCCCCTCCCAAGCCCCGCCCACCTGGCCCCGCCCAGGCCACGCCCCCCGCGCACCTGGAGGCGGGAGAGGGCGGAGCGGAGCTGCAGCACCTGAGCCTGCTGCTCGAACACGGCGTCGCGCTGTTCCTGCACCCGCCTGCGGGGGGCGCTGCTCAGGGGGCGTGGCCACGGGGAAAGAGGGCGTGGCCACGACGCGCGGGTTTTATGAATGAGCGGGGTTGGGTTTAAGGGGCGTGGCCTGCGGTTCAGTGGGCGTGGCCTGATTCTCAGTGGGCGTGGCCACAGCCCCTTTATTAAAGCTAAAGCGGAGGGGGCGTGGCCTGCGGCTCAGTGGGCGTGGCCACCGCCCCGTTCTGAGGGCTAAAGCGGAGGGGGCGTGGCCTGCGGCTCAGTGGGCGTGGCCAAAGCCCCGTTATGAACGGTAACTCGGAGTGGGCGTGGCCTGCGGCTCAGTGGGCGTGGCCACAGCGCCGTTATGAGAGCTGAGGGGGAGGGGGCGTGGCTTGCAGCTCAATGGGCGTGGCCACAGCGCCGTTATGAGGGTTAAAGCGGAGTGGGCGTGGCCTGCGGCTCAGTGGGCGTGGCCAGAGCCCCGTTCTGAAAGCTAAAGCGGAGGGGGCGTGGCCTGCGGCTCAGTGGGCGTGGCCAGAGCCCCGTTCTGAGGGCTGAGGCGGAGGGGGCGTGGCCTGTGGCTCAGTGGGCGTGGCCACGGCCCCTTTATTAACGCTAAAGCGGAGTGGGCGTGGCCTGCGGCTCAGTGGGCGTGGCCACAGCCCCGTTATGAGGGCTGAGGAGGAGGGGCGTGGCCTGCTAGTCAGTGGGCGTGGCCACAGCCCCGTTATGAGGGCTAAAGCGGAGGGGGCGTGGCCTGTGCCTCAGTGGGCGTGGCCACCGCCCCGTTATGATGGCTGAGTAGGAGGGGGCGTGGCCTGCGGCTCAGTGGGCGTGGCCACCGCGCCCTTATGAGGGCTGAGGCGGAGGGGGCGTGGCCTGTGGCTCAGTGGGCGTGGCCACAGCGCCGTTATGATAGCTGAGGAGAAGGGGGCGTGGCTTGCGGCTCAGTGGGCGTGGCCACAGCCCCGTTATGAGGGCTAAAGCGTAGGGGGCGTGGCCTGCGGCTCAGTGGGCGTGGCCACAGCGCCGTTCTGAGGGCTAAAACGGAGGGGGCGTGGCCTGCGGCTCAGTGGGCGTGGCCACAGCCCCGTTATGAGGGCTGGGGCGGAGGGGGCGTGGCCGCGCTGTCGCGATGTCGCGATGTCGCGGTTTAAGTCGCGATATGACGTCACCCACCTGAGGTCTCGCTGCAGGACGTCGCTGACGAACGCCTCGTAGCGCTGCGCCTTCTCCGCCGCCGCCATGCTGCCTCTGACGTCATCGCCGGAACTGCGTCATCGCCGCGCCGCCGCCTTCGGGCGCCGCCTGGCGGGCGGGAGGACCCGCCCCGCCCCTATCGCGACATGGCCGCCGCTCAATCGGCGACAGAACAGCCGGAACAACGTGATCTGTGCCCCCCCCCCCCAGCCCGCACCTGCCCCAGCTGTGCCCCGGTGTGCCCAGGTGTGCCCCAGGTGTCCCCAGGTGTGTCCCAGGTGTGCCCAGGTGTGCCCAGCTGTGCCCAGCTGTGCCCAGGTATGTTCCAGCTGTGCCCCGGTGTCCCCAGTTGAGTCCCAAGTGTGCCCCAGCTGTGCCCAGGTGTGTCTCAGGTATGTTCCAGCTGTGCCCCAGGTGTCCCCAGGTGTCCCCAGGTGTGTCCAGGTGTGCCCCAGGTGTGTCCAGGTGAGTCCCAAGTGTGCCCCAGGTGTGCCCAGCACTCCCCAGGTGTCCCTGCTTGTCCCCAGATGTGCCTGGGTACCTCCAGGTGTGCCCAGGTGTGCCCCAGCTGTGCCCTCAGGCACCCCCAGGTGTGCCCGAGTGGCCCCAGGTGTGCCCCAGGTATGCCCAGGTGTGCCCCAGGTGAGTCCCAGGTGTGCCCCACCTGTCCCCAGGTGTCCCCAGGTGTGCCCAGCACTCCACAGGTGTGCCCCACCTGTGCCTGGGTATCTCCAGGTGTGCCCAGGTGAACCCCAAGTGTGTCCAGATGTACCCCCAGTGTGCCCCAGGTGTGTCTCAGGTGTGCCCAGCTGTTCCCAGGTGTCCCCAGGTGTCCCCAGGTGTGCCCCAGGTGTGCCCGAGTGGCCCCAGCTGTGCCCCAGGTGTGCCCCCGGTGTGCCCAGGTGCCCCCCAGGTGTGCCCGGGTACCCCCAGGTGTCCCCAGGTGTGCCCCAGGTGTGCCCAGCTGTGCCCAGGTGTGCCCCAGGTGTGCCCCAGGTGCCTCCCCCCACTCCCCCCCCAAATTTTGGGGTCCCCCAGGCCCCGCCCCCATCAGAACCACCCATCAGCAGCTCAGGGATTTTATTGGCCCCGCCCACACGGGCGAAAGGGGCGGGGCTAAGCAGGGTGTGGCTGAAGGGGGCGTGGCCAAGCGGGGGGCGGGGCTTACACACTCACGAGCGCAGGCGGAGAGACCCCCCCCAAAATTTGGGGGGTGGGGGGGGGAGAGAAAGGGGTTTGGCAAGCACAGAACGAGGGGGGGAGGGGATCCCCGGGGGGATTTTGGGGGTCCTGGGGGGATTTTGGGGACCCCAGGGTGGATTTTGGGGACCCCAGGGTGGATTTTGGGGATCCCCGGGGGGATTTTGGGGCTCCCCGGGGGGATTTTGGGGATTCCTGGGGGGATTTTGGGGGGTCCTGGGGTGATTTTGGGAACCCCAGGGTGGATTTTGGGGGGTCCTGGGGTGATTTTGGGGACCCCAGGGTGGATTTTGGGGACCCCAGGGTGGATTTTGGGGGTCCTGGGGTGATTTTGGGGACCCCTGGGGTGGATTTTGGGGACCCCAGGGTGGATTTTGGGGATCCCTGGGGGGATTTTGGGGGGTCCTGGGGTGATTTTGGGGATTCCTGGGGAGATTTTGGGGACCCCAGGGTGGATTTTGGGGACCCCAGGGTGGATTTTGGGCACCCCAGGGTGGATTTTGGGGACCCCAGGGTGGATTTTGGGGGGTCCTGGGGAGATTTTGGGGACCCCAGGGTGGATTTTGGGGGGTCCTGGGGGGATTTTGGGGACCCCAGGGTGGATTTTGGGGACCCCAGGTGGATTTTGGGAACCCCAGGGTGGATTTTGGGGGGTCCTGGGGGGATTTTGGGGACCCCAGGGTAGATTTTGGGGCCCCAGGGTGGATTTTGGGGACCCCAGGGTGATTTTGGGGACCACAGGGTGGATTTTGGGGGGTCCTGGGGTGATTTTGGGGACCCCAGGGTGGATTTTTGGTCCCGAAGGTATTTTTTAGGTGCCCCGGATATTTTTTGTTTCCCCCCGGGTATTTCTGGGGTCCCCGTGGGTATTTTTGGGATGCCCCCTGTATTTTTGGGGTCCCCCCGGGTATTTCTGGGGTCCCCCCGGGTATTTTTGGGGTCCCGTGGGTATTTTTGGGGTCCCGTGGGTATTTCTGGGATCCCCCCGGGTATTTTTCGGGTCCCCTGGGTGGGATTTTTGGGTCCTGAAGGTATTTCTGGGGTGCCCGTGGGTATTTCTGGGGTCCCTGTGGGTATTTTTGGGGTCCCCGCGGGTATTTTTGGGGTCCCCGTGGGTATTTTTGGGATCCCCCCGGATATTTTTGGGGTCCCCGTGGGTATTTTTTGGTGCCCCCGGGGGTTTTTTTGGGGTCCCCGGGGTATTTTTGGGGTCCCCGCGGGTATTTTTGGGGGTCACTCGAAGAGGCTGGCGAAGCTCTGCCGCAGCGCCCGGAGGCTCTCGGGGGGGCCCTGCTCGGGGGCGGGGCTGCGGAATTTGGGGGTTCAGGGGGGCCCGGGGGGGGCGGGGCCTCGCCCCTCCCCCCCCTTAAGCCCCTCCCACTTACCTGGGGGGAGGGGCCCCGCCCGGTTTGGGGGCCAGCGGCGGTTTGGGGGCGATGGGCGGGGCCTGGGGGCGGGGCTGGCGGGTGGTGGGCGGGGCTTGTGGGCCAGGGGGGCGGGGCTGAGGGGAGGTGGGCGGGGCTTGTGGGCGGGGCTGGGGCACGGAGGGCGAACGCTGGAGGCGGGGCTGGGGGGAGGTGGGCGGGGCTTGTGGGCCAGGGGGGCGGGGCTGAGGGGAGGTGGGCGGGGCTTGCGGGCGGGGCTGGGGTGATGTCACACCTTGTGGGCGTGGCTGAGGGGCAGAGGTGGGCGGGGCTTGTGGGCGTGGCTGGGGTGATGTCGCACCTTGTGGGCGTGGCTGAGGGGCAGAGGTGGGCGGGGATTGTGGGCGTGGCTGCAAAGTGGGCGGGGCTTGCGGGCGTGGCTGGTGGGGCGTGGCCGGGCCTGGTGGGCGTGGCTGGGCGGTGGGCGGGGCTTGAGGGCGGGGTGTGGCCGTGGGCGAGGTCTGTGGGCGTGGCTGAGAGGAGGTGGGCGGGGCTTGTGGGCGTGGCTGAGGGCTGGGTGGGCGTGGCTGTGAGGTGGGCGTGGCCTGTGGGTGTGGCTGTTGGGAGCCGGGCGGGGTTTGTGGGCGGGGCTGGGCGGGGCTGGGCGGGGTTTGTGGGCGTGGCTGGGCGTGGCTGGGCGGGGTTTGGGGGCGGGGCTGGGCGGGGCCTCGCGGTTGGGCGGGGCCGGGCTGGGCGGGGCGGGGCGAAGCTCCTCCCATTTGTGGGCGTGGCTGCCCCTGCGGCTGGGGGCGGGGCTGGGCGGGGCCGGACGGAGGCGGCGCACCTGGAGGGAGGAGCAACACCTGAGGGGGCGGGGCTTGAGGCAGGTAACGCCCCAATTTGGGGCAAAATCCGCCGAATTTGGGGCAAAATCCGCCGAATTTGGGGCGTGGCAGCACCGAAGTGACGGGGGCGGATTTGGGGCGTCCAAAATTTGGGGATCCCCAAAATTTGCATGTCTGGAATAATTTTTAGGAATTATTTTAACTGTGGAGGATTTTTGGGGAATCTCCGATTTTCCCGAGCGCCTTTTTAAGGAAAATTTTCACATTTTGAGCCAAAACAAATCTTTACAATTTTAGGACATAAA